CAACCGGGCATTAAACACTCAACAATCAACAAATTCAACTTAAATATCATCGATTTAATCAAAGGAGCTAGGCGCGCGGTTCAACTCCGCATTTAAGGCCACATAAAACCGCCACGAAGCGACACTTAAGCATGACTACGTATACGTATTTATGGTGTCAAATGTCGCTGGTGGCTTTAATTCTCGATTAAAAGTTCCTCGGTTCTTGATTAGTGTTTGACTCACACTAATGAAAAGTTCAGAGGCTGGCCGGGGTCAATTGGCTTGTTTACGTAACAATTCTTTACGGTACATACGGTCGCGATGCGGCGGCATCTGCGTTTGGTAAAATGTATTCGCGTATGGTTCGATTACAGGGACGGATCTTACAATTTTAGTCAATATAAAATGGAATAAACACATAGTGGAACGATGAGAACTTCAATCAAAAATTAGTTGTCCTTTTTAGTCCTATTACTAAGATTACAGTTGAGGATTGGAACCTTTGGTGTTACACAGCAAAATAAAAACACTAAATCACCACAATACCCCAAAACACTAAGCAAGTACAATCTACAAGTTGAGCGTGTATATACTCGCTCAGTGGGCTCAGTGGGCGTGGCAAAATCTAGCCAACCGAGTCAGAGCCCACTGTTTCCGCCACTAGAGTAGGAGGAACAAAAAAACTTGAAGGAATTAGACCGTTGTCTCTGTTCATACTACCTTTACATTTATTATTAATTCTGATGCTTTCATATGCATCTAATTGCCTGTAATTTGAGACTTGTTTAATTAATTTTAAATTATTGCGTTGCCGAACATATTGTTGATAAAGAACATTGTATAGATCTTAATAATTTAAAATAAATTAAACAAGTCTCAAATTACAGGCAATTAGATGCTATGAAAGCATCAGAATTAATAAATGTAAAGATAGTATGAACAGAGACAACGGTCCAATTCATTCAAGTTCTTTGTTCCTACTACTCTAGTGGCGGAAATCTAACTATTACGCTCAGTGGGCTCTGACTCGGTTGGCTAGATTTTGCCACGCCCACTCGGTGCCCACTGAGCGAGTATATAAACGCTCAACTTGTAGATTGTACTTTAGTTTATAATCATCTGCTGATGATGCTAACATGGTTAGCGAAACGCGCGTCCAGTGTAAAAGTAAAAGTGTTTTGGTGTATTGTGGTGATTTAGTGTTTTTATTTTGCCTATTACTAAGACTTCGCTGTCCGTCCGTCCGTCTGTCACAAAGGTCTATCTTATGAACCGTTATAGTTAGACAGTTGAAATTTTCACAGATAATGTATCTATGTTGCCGCTATTTATAAATAAAAAAGTACTTTGACTAAACATTATCTTTTAAGTAAGAATTTTACATAGAATCTTTCAAGTCCTCGGTGGCCGCGTGGTTAAAGCGTTAGGACTTTACGCTGCTATGACGTTGGAGCCGTAGTAAGGCAGGTTCGAATCCTAGTCAAGGCGACTTTTTTTTTATGGTTTTTTTTTTTAATTTTTACATATTTAATATTGATTAATGCAATTTTTAGTAATGTGTTTCTTCATTTTTTTAAATTAATTATACGCGCATTCAAAATTTCATCTAAATCGGAAAAAGTTTATAATAATATAGTCTCTAATGTTGTATAGATAATGAATGGTAAACCCTTCGTACGCGAGTCCGACTCGCCCTTGACCAATTTTTTCAGCGCTATTTTTTAAAAGTAATTTTCATAAAATTCTCGAAAGCTTGACACATTTGAAAAGTAGTTTTATTAGCCTGTGTGGGTGATTATTGACTGCATCCTCACTTAAATTTTGAGTCAGTCACGACTAACAACTTAGTCAATCACGACTAACCTGCTATTTTTATCTTCTTCTTCTTCTTCTTTTAGAAGGCGTATCGCCTGTTTAGTTCCGGTTTCCTCCTCGTCTAAGCAACTCCTGCGAGGTTGACTGCCAACTGTCTTGCCAACGTTTAGGTGGTCGTCCAGTAGGTCTTCTGCCATGGGGTACGTTGTTGCGAATTATTATGGCCATTCTGTCGGGGCCCATTCTATTGACATGCTGGTTCCATTCTCTTCTTCTCTGCCTTATCCATCTGACAACGTCGTTTGTTTGGCACTTTTCTCTTATGTCTACATTTCTCTGTCTGTCCCTCAATGTGTATCCAGTTATCATTCTTAAGGTCTTCATTTCAGTAGTTCGTAGGATTCTCTTTGTTACTGATGTTTCAGCTCTGGTTTCCGCACCATATGTCATCACTGGTCGTATGCAGGTTTTGTATATTCTTGACTTACATTCTGTACTCAAATGTTTGTTTTTCCATATGGGATATTTAAGATGTCCTGATATTGCGGCAGCTTTATTGGCTTGTTTCCTTACTTCTTCTTCCAGGAATCCTGAGCTTGTAATTTTGCATCCGAGGTATTCGAATGACATTATCTGATCAATAGTTTTGTTTTTTATTACCAATTTGCACCGTAGAGGCTCCTTTGTAATGGTCATGCATTTGGTCTTATTTGTGGAAATTTGCATGTTAAGTTTTTCTGCCTGTCTGTTAAAAGCTTGTAGCATTCTTTGGAGGTCGTCCTCTGACTCTGCAATAAGTACTGCGTCATCGGCATAGCATAATATGTTTACTTTATGCATTCCCATTCGATATCCTAATCCAGTTTATGACTTATATATTTTATTCTTGTTTCTGATGTGCTTATTTTATTCTTGTTCTGATTTGTTTACTATAATTCCAAACATTCTTTACCAGTGCGATAAATACCTTATACTGCGATTCTCTACTTTCAAACCACATGATCAAATTATGAATATAATTCCCGAAATTATATTTTAGATGCGGTTACACTGGAATTTTAAAAATGAACTTGTGAACTGTTACAGAGTTGAAACATACACAAACCTGCCCGTGACTCAATATTTTTATTAAACGTATACGAATTGCGGAGATAATTTTATAAACAATGAGATAAGGGTCTCTTGCGATGGCTGTACAACGACAAAAAATTGTTATGAGTCAGTCCCTGATATTTTGATACATTACGAATAAAATGATTACGCTTATCGTTTTAAGCAAAACTAATTAGCTTTGTTCGTGGGTGACTATATAAATTAAATCCTGAATCTTGTTCAGGATTTATTAAACAGCATGAACACAGCAATTAGAAATTTGCGAACCTTATCAGTTGCATACCTATCAAAAACTGCTGCTCTAGTGTTAATTTCTCTTATTTTATTTTAGGCATACCTAACATTTTGTTTATTGGATAGAATAGGTAATGAGTGAAAATCAAAAGCATAAAAATGACATTTAGAATCAATTAATTAAAAACTTTTTTTTTAATCATTAAAATTGTTATTTACTAATATACAAAAATCATACTTAATATACGTGCAATTTCAATCTCTTGTACTAATCTAGTAAGAGAAGAATCAAGTATAAGTTGTTTTAGTAAATGTGATATGTAACAAAATGTGATTACGGCTAAAAATTGACTAGTTGTAAAACTTATCCTATTAAAATCCTATTAAAAGAATCATCCTATTTGTGTATAAAATAGCGGGTAACCAGCAGCTAGTCTATGAACTAGATAGTTAGTTTGCAAATATACAGGGTTAGTAAATATACAGGTATGTCGTGGCGGATGCGCCAGGCTAAACTAGTGAATAATAATGAACTATTTATGATTTTTTTTGTATAATATGTAACTATACAGTGGTGGCCAAAAGTATGGAAACTTTTTTAATTTGTCATTTATGCTGAGAAATTAAAATATGAAATAAAACGACTTATATAATCGTGACCTACAAATCTATTGTTCTCCTACAAAAACTGCTAAACAGATTTTTTTCGCTGTGTAATTTTTGGAATACTTTTATTTGCTGATAAGCTGTTCATTTATATTCCTGAGAGTTTAAGCATAGCAATATTTTCTGTGATATTTTAAAAAGTAAAAAGTTTCCATACTTTTGGCCACCACTGTACATATACATATTTATTATTTTGGCTATGATAACTCCAGGTTTTAGTCTTTCAAAAGGGTGACAGTTAGTTAATAAACAAAAATGATGATCTTTATAATTTAATATCAATGTAAGGTTGTCTTCATTTTCTATAAATTGATTGTGCTTGTGCACGTACTTATGTGCTTTTTATCAACTTAGGGTAACTATATACTATACTTTATCTAGTATTTTGCAATTTAAAAAAAAATACTTATACCGAATTACTGTACTAGTACTATGATAACTAACATGATTGAATTATTTTTAATTTTGTTATTAGGTCCCTAAAAACTCTAGGGAATGTGAAACAACAGCTATCATCATTACAATTATTATTAACATCATATTAGTCGACACAGCTATCATACAACAGCTATCAATATCATATTAGTCGACACTGTAGTAGCTCAAAATATGTGTATTTCCGAAAAGAAAAAAAAATCGGATAGAAAATAATATCGTCATAAGAGAGTTTAATAACTACATAGTTTTCAAATTTAACAAAGATCTGTTAAAAATTTATTTGGTTTTATAAATAACAAGTACAAATTATTATAAAATCTATGATAGTTCCATAACCCACCTACAAAAAAAACTCCACATAGTCCGTATTAACAAAAAAAAATAACTAGATTTTGTAAATTACCTGGTAAGTATCTAAACCAGAAGTTGTTTCCGGTAAGTAACATACTACTTTAAATCACCATTTTAACAAGATTTTGTAAATAGTTTGCATCGAGGTCTGCATACTATCCAGTTAGAATGTAAACTAGCCGTTATTGTGCAAAATTGTGCGGATTTATTCAAAATATCCGAGATTTTAGTTTCTTTGCAAAATTGCTGGTTAATTTTAAACAAGTATTCATTTAAGCAATTGAAAAGGTAGTACTTTACTTGTCATCAATGTCGGCAATAGGATAATTATTGACGATTTACTGTATTTATATCAATTTTAAACGATAAACTCGCTGTCAAGCGGGGGTGTGTCAACTTACCACTTGAGCGTTCGGCGAATGAAGCAATTCGTGCTTTTCCAACTGTTCCTTGGAGGCGAACGATGCGCTACATTGAGCGCAGCCATACGGCCCACCTGGACCACCTAGAGGCGAGGGCGATACCGCGCTGCTGGCAACCGACATGCTCGTTTCTGATGACGCTGTCAGTTCGGTGTGCGACAGTTCCATGTGCTCCTTCAGGGCCTGAAAACTCTGACATCCTTTCTGGCATTGCGGACACTTGATGAAATACTCCGGTGTGGCGTTGAGCTCTTCTACTTCCTTGAGGCTGCCGTTTGTCAGCGACGGAGCTGAAAATAAAAGATAACCTTATTATAATGCATTCGCTTGCAGAAGGAAGGAGCGGCAATTTTTCGATACGTACGATCTGGAGTTTTGAACAAGGAATCTATGTTCGCGATGATATTCTCAAAGGCGAGTTTGGATTCTATTTCACTACCTGACATTTCAAATAAATAAGTTTGTTAGATATGTTACCTAGGTTGTAACGGTAAAATGATTTGATTGATTGATAAAATGTGTAAAGGGGTTTCAAATATTTCTATTACTATGGAAATGGAGGGCTTTGTAATCTATACCAAAGAATATACCTAGCTAGAAAAATAATGGACTCTGCCATACTGAAAAATGGTCCTACAGAAGTGGCGCCATCTATTGAGTAGGGCTTGTTTTAAATGGATCGAAGCGCGGGCTTTTTAAATGAGCGTATTTATTGAATTTTACTCTAAAATAATTAAATTTGACCTATTAAATCTTATTTTTTACACAAATTCAACAATACTAATAACAAGTATCGTTGTGATGTGTAAAAAATAAGATTTAACAGTATAATTTATACAATAAATATTATTTATTGTATAAATTATGGTTATTATAATAAAATAAGACCAACGTAATACCCCAAGGTTTTGTAAATGGAGTAAATATAAATAGGTACTTAAATGACAACAATAAAAGACTTACATTATATTTTTAGGGCCACAAACAAAAGGAATTGTCTAATTAAAACACATATTATAACAAATTATAGTTTGAAAAACGTTTTGATAATCATTTGATAATATTATGATTGACGCTATGACAACGACAATATTTTTTGAGAATTTGACAATAGGATGACAATGGCCCTTGGAAACTATGGAAACTACAAAAAAATTCTGATTTAACGCCATCTGGCAATAACTAGTAGCAACTTCTTAACCTAAAAATTAATTACACTACCACCTAGCGCCTGGGGCTGGAACTATTTTATTTGAAATTTCCGTGGAAACGGTGGAACCGCTTTTGCTATTTCACTTTCCCGCCCATCTATACGAGTATAGTATAGGGGAACGATAATTATTATTGTTCTAATTTTAGAAATATTTATTTTTAAACGAATATACAAGTGCAAATAGTTTTTGGGGTAGTATCCGTATATTTCTACCCAAGAAACACGTCTATCAGGGTTTTTTTCATGAAAAAAATTAAAAATTGAATTTTTTTTATTTTTTTTTTTGAAATTTATTTATTTTTTAGTTAAAAATATCTTCATATGGTAATATAGGTGTTAGATTAAATTTACAAGAATGAAAATCCAGAATTTTAACCTTTTTTGTAATTTTAAAGTAAAATATCTTGGTTATTTTGGTCTTATTTCAGAAACGGCAAAGAGAAAATATGTTTCTTTTTATGGAGATCTACCAGCCCTGAAAATATTTGCACTTATTTAAGGCTCACCCTGTATAACAATTCATTTCCATTAAAATATTGTTTTACAATTAAAATGAAAATAATAGTTTTTATGCGTACGCATTAGTGATTTATAATACAGTGGTTCTTATAAAAAAAATAATTATTATGGATCAGGTGTTAATAATAAGGGAGCGACATTTTTCGGCAAACTATGGAACGAATACTTTTCGGAGAAGAACTATATATATTTTATTATTGTTTGAATATTATTATTGTCCCGATTAAACGATAATGTGTTATGTAATTAGAAAAATATTGATAGTTATTCTTAGCTAGAATATTTCAGTCGTTGCTGAGATTCCGTGAAGGTGTGATGTCGTATGTTTTGTTAACTCTGAGATATTTTCTCTCTGTTCGATTATGAAATATAAAATAATCATAGCAGTAGGTGGCTTTCAGTGGATTCCATCATACTAATGTTTTACAGTTGAGAAAGTAGGGTAGGTATACGTTAAAATGATAGTTTAGGTTAACAATAAAATGTTTTTCTATAATATATATTGATATGTGGAAACAAAATACTTGACTGATGGTGATATGTTTTAAAATATAGGAACCGAAGATTTCGTAAAGTAACATGACATTTTTGAAAAGTATACTTCCTGTGTAGTCAGTGCAGTAATAAATAATAATTAAAAATACTAATGGAATACACAACCTTAAATAAATAAATATTACATAATCACTGAGTTTATACAGAGTGTTTCAAAAACATGTGCTGGCTCTAGTAAGCTTTAGGTATAGTCTGTGAAACGATTAACTTTGAATTTGACAGTTCTCGCGGGCTTTCCTAGTGCTAATTTTATTAAGTTAGCAACTTTTGCGGCCATGATGATGCAATGCCGTCTCTAATAGAACAGCCACGAATTTTATGACGTCACTCTAGTTGGATACTACGGATAATAAATATGTTGTAGAATACATGGAAAACATAATTATTCCTCGTATATGTAATTTTATGGATTATATTCGACACTATTTTTTTCATATGACACAACACTGATGAAGGCTATAAACGTTAGCTATAACGTTTTTTTTTAAACCAAAAAAAATAATGAAAACTTAATCAGCGTTTTTCCCGAACCTAAATCCCAAGAAAATCAAAAATTTTAGAATAATTTTACATATAAAATGACAGCGATCTTTATTTCATAGCCATCGCTGACCCCTTTTTTCCTATGATATTGTATTATTTGCAAATATAAATTTTTCAAACATTGATGCTTTCAAAATATACATATAAATTTTGTAAATGCAAATGATAATATATCACTATTAGTAGATATTGAATGTTTTTTGTTAAATTAGATCGATTTTCAAATCCCAAAATTTAAAATATATTTTACATTTTACCCATTATCTTATGTGCCTAATCATTATTTGTATATTGTAAAACATTTGCTGCATTTGTATGGTTCATAGTATATTTGCCAAAGTATTTATTACTATAAATAGGTATATATATATTGTATTTATTAACTGTATATTATGTATATTTTATGTAAACTATATCATTTTTAAAATACAAACCAAAAATACGAGGAATAATTATGTTTTCCATGGATTCTACAACATATTTATTAATCCGTGGTATCTAACTAGCGTGACGTCATAAATCTCGCTCCGAGGCTGTTCTATTAGAGACGGCATTGGGCTGATATTTAGAAATGTCAAAAGCTGATGAAATTTTACTTTTGTCAATTATGACATTTCGCGTCGATTTTTGCAAGAAGAGGAAGAACTGTCACTTGTTTTATTATTTTCCTTTTCTATTTCATGAAAGTAAAAAGAGTTACCTATCTGATTCGTTCAGGCACTCATTTTAAAGAATATCAGTAACTTTTTGGATAGAGGGATTTGATATTTGCCATGTTGGTAAAAAATAACGGTCAAAATTCAAAGTTATTCATTTTATAGACTATACCTCGGAATTTCACACTTTTCATTGTTTTGTTAGAAAGATTACTGTAAATAGAGCATATTGAAAAAATAGAGCATTTTTTTTGAGCATTTGAATTGCTTTGGTTAGCTTTTCTTTGTGGAGCAGGGTGTTAAGCTGTGGTTTTTATATTTTAATAATTAACTGTGATTTTACAAAAATATTATTAGATTGGTTAGGATTTGGGTTGCTTTGGTTATTTTTTCTTTGTGGAGGGTGTAAGCTGTGGGGGGCAAGCTGAGGGTGTAAGCTTTATGTAAGCTGTGGTTTTTTATATTTTAATAATTTACTGTGATAGATTGGTTAGCATTTTAGACACTTTTAAATGATTTGTTTTGGTTCAAAAGTGCTTCATACAAGGATTTTTTTCTTTTAAACTGTTCTATAGCAATAGAGCTTTCGACTAAAAAAATAAAAATTGCGAAATTCTGAGGTAGGTACTTAATGTGCTATCTCTCGTGAAGAGATTCCTCACGTAAAAATAAGATTTATTTTTATATGGATATAGGTCCGATTCTACTTTGTTTCGTAGTTATACAGGGCGTTAAAGTCTTAATTTTTTTTGCGATTTATTATGACTTTCTTTCAGGTGCTTTTAGTGATTCGAATGAAATTTAAAAAGTATCCTGTTGGTATTAAAAATAAATCTTATCTTTACGTCCCCACGATAGATGGCACATGTTTTTTGAAACACCCTGTATTTACTGCCATTAGATCAAATTTGTCTCATAATATGTATGTTTGTACGTTATAATTACATATCCAAAAAAACGACACGAAGGTAAACTTAGACATTTTTTTATATAAAATATAAATAGTATTTAATCAATTTGCAATAATAAGGGCATCATATTATATTTTTAATTATATTTATACATGTATAGATATACAGGGTGGTCCAAACTGTACTCCGGAAACTTCTGCAGCATGGTCCGTAGATGAAAATAAGTAAAAAAGTTCCTTTTTTTAAATTAATCATAATTTTTTCTTCAAAAAAAATGATGATAAAACAGTTTCTGTTGAACTTTTGCCACAAAAACATTTCACATTTATGATTTCAGTCTAATAACTATTTTTAATTAAGTTTAATTTATGTCAATGATGACAGGTATTGATAATTTCGATTTCAACTATCTGGAGAACCATTACTCGTAGCGATTTTTACCAAGAGACCTTTTTTACATAAAAAAACGTCAGAAATGTATATTATTGTACCTCAGTGGTCTTTACAGGTACGAACGAAAAGTTATTAGTCTTCAAACCAGTTAAAAAATATGTAATATGTGGTGTCCTCTCCAAGTAGGAGTCATATTGACATCAAAATCAAATTTCACATGCCAAAAAACTCCCAGTCATCAATTTTCATCCAAATATTGACGTTATTCCAGAAATTATTTGGAAAAAATCGAAATAAAAATAAAATTTCTACACTTTGTATCTCCAAAACTAAGTATTTTAGGACATACATTTATACGAACTTTTTTACTTATTTTTATCCACAGAAAATGATGCCAAAGTATCCGGAATACAGTTCAGACCACCCTGTATAAAAAACGTTGCAGTTAAAGAACATTCCTAAATATACTCTTACATTTCTCCTTTTTTCATGTTAATGAA